ATGGGCACTACCACGGGCGGAGCCTGACCGGCCAATGAGGCTATGACGTCGACTCTGCTCTCGCCCGAAGCAAGAGCGATGTCGGGCGATGGCGACGTCTCTCCTGAATGGCGACACTATTCTTGGGCGCCAGCGCCAAAGAGTGGCCCCGTCTTAGGATGCTGCAAGAAACAAAAGGTGTGAGTCATGCTGAAAATAGAAAAAATAGAGAAAATAGAGGAGTCAAATGGCTTACATCGGCGCTGTCGGGTGGAGGATACGTTTCAGGGACGAACCCTAGGTCCGTGCTCCACCTCATCGGGGCAAGGCCGTTTTGAGTCTGCCCCTTGCTCCCAGGCAGAGGGGCTAGCCACCATTGCATCCGAAGGCACGACGGCGGAGCCATCCCCCTACGTTGGCACCTCGGGGGCGGCGGCAGATCCGCCCGCCCCTACTGGCTCTTGAGGCGTGGAGGTGGGGCCACTCCCCTCCGCTGGCAACTCAGGCACGGCGATAGATCCACCCACCCCAGCTGGTTCTGAGGACGGGCCGATGGTCCAGCCTGTCTCCGCCGGCCTCACGGACTCACTTCCCCACATGAAATGGGAAGGGTCCCTGCAAGGACGAGTGGATACCTATCAATGTATCCTCGCTCTCTAGGTCATCCCACTCGGTGTCGGCAACTACCTCATCTTCTTCTTCCTCGTCGTCATCATCGTCACTGTTGGTTTCCTCCCTGCGCTCCCGCGCACGCAACTTCTGCTGCTTCTTCCTCCTCTCATCCTCCTTCGCCTTCCACTGCCGCTCGGCCATCGCGACGGTTGGCCACCGTCACGGTCGAGTCCTTCGGTAGTGGAGCCAGAAGATCCGTAAGGATGAGTTTCCTCGGCTAGTCCTATCTCAATATCAGCGTCAAGAGGTCGGGAGTTCAATTAAAAAGGAGGCACGAGGAAAGAAAACTTACGAAGACAATGTACCCCGGTTTCGGCCACATTGGGGGATTCCCCAGCACCGGATATACAAAATCAAGGACAGCGTCGACGTCATCTTGCGGAGGCTCCATCGCCTCCTTGATGCACTGTGCCACTTCAGGACGGGAGAGTGCTCCCTCGATGAGCGCCATCCCATCGAGTGACGCCCCGGGCACCATCATGTGCAAGGGAAGCGCGCGCCTCATCAGCGGTGCCACCCTCCGCGTGTGGTAGGCGCCGATGACCCCTGACCCATTCACACCCCTCTCCTTCAGAATTTGGATGGCGGTGAGATGGTCCTAGATTTTCTTCTCGTCTTTCTCCGGGACTCCCCACCTCCTCTATGATTCTAGGACCTCTTCGATGAGGTGCCCGGTGAACTCTAGCAAGGGGGCGACTGTGTCGTTCTTGATGTAGAACCAATGCGAATGCCACCTCTTGTTGGAGGTTGACAGATGCATCGGCGGATACTCATTGACGCAGTTGTTGCGAAGCTAAATGCCGGCACATCCCATCGGCACGTTCAACTCCTGCTTCTTCTCCTGCTTCTTCAGAAGGGTGACGACGATGTACCGCCACAGGTCGAAGTGGAGACTAATCCCTAGGAACCTCTCACACAGGGCGACGAATGCCACAATGTGCTGGATTCCGTTGGGATTAAGATGCTACATCTCTATCTTGTAGTAGTGCAGCAATCCTCGAAGAAACTTGTGGGTGGGGTGGCGAATCCCCGCTCATAGAAGTGAGCGAAGGACACGACGTAGCCATCGGGCAGTGACGGCGCGTCCTCATCACCGGGCAGCCACCACTCCTCGACGGCGGTCCACGCGCAAAGGAGACCACGGTGAATGAGGCCCTCTAGGCGCTGGAGGGCGATATCAGAGCGGCACCATGGCTCCATTGGAGGATTGTAGTGGCGGATGCGAATTCGACGATGGGCTGAAACGTGGATGCGGGAGGCTTAGGCGATTGGCGGTGGAGGTTGTAGATGCGAAGGCAAGGAGGCAAAGTACGAAACCCTAGGGGTGAACCCTTTGGTTTTATAGGGGCGATGGATGCGAGAAAAGCAACCATCCGCCTGGATCTCCGCGCCTACCATGATTCACCACCACATCACGTCGTGGGATATGCGCCCGCAATCTCTATCCTTTTCCTCCAAAGGCACGCTAGACGTTTCGCCTCCCCGGGTAGACCAGGACTCTTTACCAGCAAAAGGGATACGGGTCAAAAAACATTCCTCTGGCCTGCTTGGGCCTAGAAGTTCAAGGGCTAGCCCACTAATGGTTTCGACGGCCATCCCAAGGCACCCTGACGACAAAGGATGGGCCCATGAGCGGCCAAAACTTAGGCGCACGAGCTTCACGGGAGTCTCGGCCCGCGATTGAGTCTCAGGCGGGCTAACCCTGGCTGGATCCCCACGAACGGGATGCCAGGATCCCAATTGAGCTATCCAGCTAAACAACTATCAAACCTCGTGACCATACCCGTAAAGGGTCTGACCTTGACAAAGAAGAAATCACCATCTTCAGGGCACGCCGTAGACAACGATAGAGGACCGAGGCTCTCAAAACCCTCTTGTTCAAAAAACCCTCTGAAGGAGTATCATACTCCTCTGTAGGCTCGTGGGCTACACCCACCGGGTGCGCTCGCGCGCACCCGCAGGCAAATTGAAAAATCCCCCAGGTAATTCTACTCGAATCGCCCGGGGGCTCGGGGGCTACTATCAGGGACCAATAGTAGGGTACCCAAAGAGGAGGAGCTAATGGCTATCAACGTTGATTCATCCGTGCGATCGAGAGTGCGACTACACCACTCGCTGGGTCACTCCTCGTCCGACGACTGAGACCATAGGCCCCGCCTCAAGCTGGCTCCCGAGGGCTGGCTCCTCTTCGTTCGACGTCTGAGGGCAGACTCCGTCTCGCTCGACCCACGAGGGTAGGCTTTGCCTCGTCCGACGTCTGAGGGCAGACTCCGTCTCGCCCGACCCCCGAGGGTAGGCTCCGTCTCACCCGACGTCTGAGGGTAGACTCCGTCTCACCCGACCCCTGAGGGCAGCCTCCGTCTCACCCGACCCCTGAGGGCAGACTCCGTCTCGCTCGACCCCTGAGGGCCGGCTCCGCCTCGCCCGACATCTGAGGGCAGACTCCGTCTCGCCTGACCCTTGAGGGCCGGCTCTGCCTCGCCCGACGTTCGGAGACTGGCTCCGCCTCGTCCGACGTCTAAGGGCAGACTCCGTCTCGCCCGACCCCCGAGGTCCGGCTCTGCCTCACCTAATGTCTGAGGGTAGACTCTATCTCGCCCAACCCCCGAGGGCTGACTCCGCCTCGCCCGACGTCTGAGGGCAGACTCTGTATCGCCCAATGATCGGAGGCTAGCTCCGCCTCGCCCGACGTCCGGGGGCTGGCTCCGCCTCGCTTGATGTTCGGAGGCTGGCTCCGCCTCGCTCGACGTCCAGGGGCTGGCTCCGCCTCGCCCGACGTCTGCGCACTGCTCCTTCATAAATACACGCACGGATAAGGCAGGGCACTCAAGTCAACCGCAATACCGAGGACCATACCCTGCACGTCTACAGCAAAGTATTGTCAGGATATGACAGGACGTGCGCTTTAAGCCATTCCAGGCATGTCAGAGCCCGAACAATATTGTAGGCACCGACATTTGTCTTACAGTGTTGTGGGCGCCGCCATTTGCCCTCGGGCGTGGATCCTGATGAAAGCATACGACAACTGCTACGGTCCAGGATGAAACTCGCATTATCTACAGTAACGGACGTGCGGTCATTGTGTCGTTTGCTCTCCGTAGGGTCGCGGTTCAGCACCCTGGTCCATCGCGCCGCCCGCCGGGACGGGATGGGACGTGACCACTTGCTGACAAAGTCTGAACATGGCATCATCAGCGGGCATGCACCCAACATGGAGCTAGCCCTGGCACCGTCTGCCGTGTCAGCGGGGCTCGCTTAGAGGAAAAGAAAGACCCGACATCTTTGAAAGACCTCCCTGACCTCTAGTTTTTCTTCTTTCTCCTATCTGTAATTCTTGCTTCCCCTTGGTCTATAAAAGGGAATGCAGGGCACCCCATTAAGGCCATATTCGCTGGGAGGAATTTAGAGAAATCTGGATAAATCTGGAGGGATTTGTGAGAGAGTGAACAATGTTTTTATCTACGCACAGTAAAATCCGGCTGGTTTTCAAACCAGCCGAACGAGCCATATGGAGGAGATCGATTGAACACACCACGCATCACATCACACAGAAGCTGAACATCAACCAAGCTCTCAGCACCCATTCGACCTTTTTCATCAGAGACTTGGAATCTTTCCCTCTCTCGCCCGTTTGTAACCTCTACTACAAACTTTTTGGTGATAATAATACGAGCAGCAGTCACGAACTGGATGTAGGAGCATTCTGCCCGAACCAGTATAAACCTTGTGTCTTTTTAGCACACCATCCGGGCCAGATACGTAATAATACAAATTTACTCGTTGGTGTTTAATCGAAACACCGACGTATATTGCCCCTTCCCCTAATGAATCTCGGTGTAGATCCGGTGTGTACACATAAAGCATGTTCTTACTGACGAAATTTACTTTGCCAAAACAAATTACTTTGCCCATATCCATTGTGTTCGACTCTCGGTCTAAATTATAAGTTGTTTTAGACATAATGTATATCTAAGTGTATAATAAAAATTATATACCTAAAAATGTTAAATAACATATAATTTAGAATGGAGTGAGTATGTGAGATTTTTTTATAACCTAGAAATTTTACAAAACTCGTACAGAAAATCTATATTAATCATTTTATTTTAGAAACACAGGAAATGGAAAAAATTCGTCGTCTGAGAGCCTAGTGAAAAAACGAAGTGAACAAAGCGTGTTATTAACCGGCTTGTTCGGCTCCGCAGTCCCACTCCCAACTGCCGCTGCCACCCTCTGTTGCTTCTCTTCTCCCAGCCTCCACGGCTCCACCTCCGGCTGCAGAGTCCACGCCAACCACTCGCACCGACAGCCTCGCCCCACCAACCCACCGGCCCACTGCCCGCCGCCGCATGACGGTGGCCCGCGGTCCGCCCGGCCGCCCCTCTTCCGGGCTCCTGGGCTGCTGGCGCCGCCGCCCGGCGCTGGGCTTCGGCGCCAAGGTCGGCATCGCCATCGCCCTTGGCCTCTCCTTCGCCATCATCTGGACCTCAGTCTCCCCGACTTCCTCCTCCCAGCAGATCTCTACCGAGCACTCCTCCTTCGCAGCCGAAGTCGCCGCACTGCCAACCGCCTCCCACAATCGCACCGCCGCCGGCGGCGGCGGGCACGCTCACCGGAAGCCCCGCCCCGTCCCGCACAGCCACAAGAAGCGCCACCCTGCTCCGTCTGGATCCCATTCCCATCCTCACCGCTCCAATGCCACCGCCTCGCCGGATGCCGCCGCTGCGAAGGCCGATCACTCCGAGCCGGCTCCGGTAACCGACCCGGAGCCGAAGGAGAAGGAACCGGAGCAGGAGCAGGAACAGGAGCCAGACATGGAGATGGAGCCGGAACAGGAAGCGGAGCTGCCCATGCCCGAGCAGGGCGGGGACAATTCGGGGAAGGCCCCTGCGGAGGAGGAGGAGGAGAAGCCGCCGCAGCTGGAATTGGAAGACGAGCCCAGTGAGGGTGACGGCGAGGATGATGATCCCGAGGCGGCGAAGAGGAAGGCTCCAAGTAAGGAGAGGAAGCTCCCGCCTTTGTTCAGCCCGGGTGTGCGTTACCACTGGAAGCTTTGCGGCGCCAAGAGCGGCTACCACTATATCCCCTGTGTGGATTTCGATGGGGATGGGAGCCAGAGGCACCATGAGCGCAGCTGCCCAAGGTCTCCTGTGACGTGTTTGGTGTCACTGCCCAAGGAGTATAAACAGCCTGCTGCATGGCCCGAGAGGAAGGACAAGGTCAGGAGTTTACGGTAATTCATGTTTTAAGAAAATGAGTTGATCATAATCGGACATGAATAATTTTGATTTGATTTATTGCTGATTGTTTTTGTGGTGAATCGTTACCCTTGAAGGTTTGGTACGGGAATGTTGGGCATCCTAGGTTGTCAAATTATGTTAAGGGCCACAGCTGGCTGAATCACAGCGACGAGTACTTGATGTTCCCACCAGACCAATGGGAGTTCAAAGGTAGCGCAAGGCATTATGTTGAATCAATTGATGAGGTAATAGTCAAATATTCACATTTGGATCAGACACGAGCTACTTGTATTCAGAAAGAGTTAAAGAGCATTTAAATAGTTTCTGCACATTGTATGTTGGATTGCATAATTAAGTTGGACCTATCTTTAGCGAAGGTATGAGATTAGAAACGAGAACATGAAAATAGTTGCAGAACTGAACATAGTTAATGCTCTTCTTGGATTGCCCATGCCACTTGCCACGTTGTATGTGATTGATGGCTAGTTGTGACATGTTTTGATTGCCTTCACCATTGGAGTGTCTACCTCGGAAAATCATGCTCAATTCTCTCGTAAATTTTCTCTATTGATACGTGCTGATTCCTGGATGGTGATTGCTATAAGGCTGCACCATCTTGAGCAAATTCAACACTGCACTCAGTGCGCTACTGAAAATTGTTATGAACCCCAAGGTTTAGTTCTCCTATATAAAACAGCAAAGGCACAATGAACTTTTGGATTGAATCTTATTTGTATTTTGAGCTACACATGTGTTTAGTTTCAGTAATCGTTCAGACATATTATACTACCATTACACAATCTGCACATTACTTTGTTTGTCATTCAGATGGCTCCTGACATTGACTGGGGTAAAAATATACGCATAATATTGGATGTTGGATGCAAAAGCGCTGGCTTTGGTATTGCTCTACTCGAGAAAGATGTGATAACGCTATCTTTAGGCCTTACAAATGACCAAACAGACCTTGCACAAGTTGCCCTTGAACGTGGCATCCCTGCAACAGTTGGCAGTCTGGGATCACGAAGATTACCCTTCCCTAGTGGTGCATTTGATGCTATTCACTGCGGTGAATGCAATATACCATGGCATTCTAATGGTAAATATGTGTTCCTTTATTCCTTTCTTTAGATCATAATTCAAGTATCTACTTGTATGTTGAACGATATTGTGTATTCTATGGTTTAGGTGGAAAACTTCTCCTAGAGATAAATAGAATTCTTCGTCCAGGCGGATACTTCATCATATCAAGCAAAAGTGCTGACTTGGAGAGTGAAGAAGGTATGATAGAATAACATAAGTATTTACGCCATTGTAAATTATAGTAAGTGTTAGTTCCTGTGCTGTTCTAAATTATAAACTGCATCTAAAAAACCCTTATAAACTGGTTCATGTTTCTTTCTGCCTATTCATTTTCCCCGTTTTCGTTTTTTTCCTTTTCAGGAATATCAGCTTCAATGACTGCGCTTTGTTGGAATGCAATAGCTTACAATAGTGATGATGTCAGCGAGGCTGGAGTGAAGATATTTCAGCGACCAGCCTCAAATGAGGTATATGATCTGAGAGCAAAAAAAGATCCTCCATTTTGCAAGGAAGAGCAGAACAAAGCTAGTGCATGGTGAGTTGGATCATGTATACTTGGGCTACATCACTATGCTGGGTCTAGGATTACTCCAATGTTTTCCCAGATAATTCACTTTTGGTTCATACACCAATAAGTTGATCTTGCCTTTTTAGGTATACTACTCATATCAAACACTGCCTGCACAAAGCGCCAGTTGGTATCGAAGAAAGAGGCAGTGACTGGCCTGAGGAGTGGCCCAAGAGGCTCGAGAGTTTCCCTGAGTGGCTTGGGGACACACAAACAAGGGTGGCTTCTGATCATAACCATTGGAAGGCTGTTGTTGAGAAATCTTATCTGGATGGATTGGGCATTGACTGGTCAAATATCCGTAACGTAATGGATATGAGGGCTGTATTTGGAGGGTATAATAAATCTCCTTTTCTAATTCTGAATACTAAATAGGATTTCTCTAAAAACCTACATTGTACATTTGTACTTCATAATACATTTTTTTTGAAATGTTAAAATAAATGTATTGAAAAAGCCGATGATTGTTTTCTTGCAGATTTGCAGCTGCACTGGCATCTAAAAAGGTTTGGGTCATGAATGTTGTTCCTGTGCATGCTGCAGACACCCTACCCATAATCTATGAGCGTGGCCTGATCGGTGTGTATCATGATTGGTGTGAACCATTTAGTACATATCCAAGGTCCTATGATCTTTTACATGCTGACCATTTATTCTCACGCCTGAAGATCAGGTATGGCATCGAAAAGACTAGCCTTTCTCTGACTTCATATGATTTGGTGCGGTTTCACACTCAAAATAGGGAATTCATTGTCTTGTTCTGGTATTATGATTTTTTTTCTGAATCACTGTTTTTCTTGGATCACAACATCTACTTTACAATAAATTGTTTAGTACCCAACTAAGTCACATCTGGGGATGAGGTTTATTTCTGTTACCAGAAGAAAAAAAGGCCATTGTACTATAATCAAGTGCAACTCTTGATATGCCTTTTCTTGTGTTGTAGATGTAAGCAACCTGTCTCAATTGTTGTTGAGATGGACCGGATTTTGAGGCCTGGAGGTTGGGCTATCATCCGGGATAAACTCGAGATCCTTGACCCATTGGAGACAATCTTGAAATCACTGCATTGGGAAATTGTCATGACCTTCAGAAAGGACAAGGAGGGTATCATGTCTGTAAAGAAAACAACATGGCGTCCATAAGCTGACCTCAGAATCACAAGGAGCATTCCAATTTTTGCACTATACAGCTGTCCATTTCTCCAGGTTGTGTGATACCATCATTTTGTGAATCTGGGGTAGATGTACAATATTTGTTCATTCGTTACTCATCACAATATGCTCACCACATCTCTGTCGGGTAGTTTAAGCCCAGTTCGATGGTTGGTTGTGGTTGGCGTTACATTGATCAATTCTTTTGAAGCAGCATCCAAGACGACCAGCTCTAGTTTCAGAGAAAAAGACTCTTCGATTCCATAAACAGGGTTGTACGAGATACAAGATTGCTTCTTGTTGTTTGAAAATGTAACAATATATGTAAAGATTGCCACTGAATTAACTGCTTGGTGGTGTTGTAAGTTGCAACAATCTGTAAAGATTCAATACATGAACTTTCTCAGTGTAAATTGTGAGCAGACAGCAAAAGAGTTCCCAATGTGTATTTTGCTCTCATTTGAGCTGTTCTACACTTCTGATCTTAATTTTGTACCAGAAAAACCAAGTATTGTACCGCATGAACCTTCAGAAAATGCGCGTGGCATGACCATTTAGATGCATGATGAATTGGTGATATTCAGTGGTCAGAGTAAATCCTGATTCTACAGGAACCAGGGCGACTTATGGGGGAACATCGGTCCTAATGATTAGGTACGATTGACGGATGACAGGATTATCACTGTTGCTCAAATAATATTTGCACAATAGTTGCGCACACAATCGAACACCCAAGCTTGAATTGGCACGATGACCGTAATACTATCAATTTGGCGTTTTTGAGGATTTTTTTTTTGGATGCCTAGGCGTCTTTGAGGATATTTCAGTGTTTCTTTGAAGACGAGCATGGAAGCGGCCCAGCCCACCGAGGCCCAAAGCTAAGCTTCCAAATTCCAAAGGAAAAAGTCCACGTTACCTCCCTCAAATTTCGTAAAAATCAGTTTTTCCTCTCCAAACTCTAAAATAAGGCAAAACACCTCCCTCAACTTTTTAAACCGTTCATCTTACCTCCCTGGCCCTATTACAAGCGGTTTTGAAGGCGGTTTTATTATTTTCTTTTTTATTTATTCCGAATAAATTTTTGAAAAATCATAGTAAATCATAGAAAAATCATAAAATAGAAAATCCAATTTGTTGGACTCCACGTGAGTATATCTACACAGTGAATATATAATATGGTGTACTTTAGTACAAAGTTTTTGCTGTGACTTTAGATCTATGCTTTTCTATAATTAAATGAAATAATTCATAGCTGCAGTTTTTTATGGTCTAATTATAGTGAATTTTTTATGATGCGCTAATTATTGTATGCTTAAACTGTAGTAAAAATTTCATACTCTTTGGATCATGTATAACTTAATTATAGATTTATTTAGTTTTATGATTGTTAAATATAAATAAATCTATAACTAATTATAGATTTATTTAGTTTTATGATTGTTAAATATAAATAAATCTATAACTAAGTTATACATCATCGAATGAGTATGAAATTTTTACTATAGTTCAATCATATAGTAATTAGCCCACCATAAAAAATTCATCACAATTAGACTATAGAAACTGCAGCTATGAATTATTTCAATTAATTACATAAAAGCATAGATCTAAAGTTACAACAAAAAATTTTGTACTAAGCATACCGTGTTATATGTTTACTGTGTAGATTTACTCATGTGGAGTCCAATAAAATTGGATTTTTAATTTTATGATTTTTCTATGATTTACTATGATTTTTCAAAGATTGAGCCGAAATAAATAAAAAAAGACAAAAACGTCTTCAAAACTGCTTATAACAGGGCCAGGGAGATAAGATGAAGTGTTTTAAAAGTTGAGAGAGGTATTTTGTCCGATTTTGGAGTTTAGGAAGAAAAACTCGGACTTTCACGAAAGTTGAGAGGTAACTTCGATTTTTTCCAATTCCAAAACCCTAATACCCAAAGGCCCGAACCGGTCCGACCTCGCACACACCACCGCCGCGATGCCTCCCTTCCCGGCGGCGACCACCGCCTCCACCACCTCCCACCTCGCTCTCCTCGTGCTCCTCTCCTCTTCCTCCCTCTTCTTCCTCTACAAATCCTTCCGCCTCCGCCGCAAACCCTCCCCAGCTACAGCCCACGCCCGCACTGCCACTCCTACCCTTCTCTACGCCTCTGCCACCGGCACCTCCAAAACCCTCGCTGAGCGTCTCTCCGCCCGACTGACCGCCGATGCCGGCTTCCCTGTCCGCGCCACCGACGCTGCCACCTTTGACCCCGACGACCTTCCCTCCGTACCGCTCCTCTTGCTCGTCATCCCCACTCACGACGGCGGCGCGCCGCCTCCTTCTGCGGCCTTCCTTTCGCGCTGGCTTGAGGAGTCCGCCGCTGACTTCCGCGCGGGGGCGCTCCTCCTCTCCGGTCTCCGCTTCGCCGTCTTCGGGGTTGGGTCCCGGGCCTATGGGGAGACCTTCAACGCCGCCGCGAGGAGCTTCTCGCGGTGGTTGCGCGCGCTCGGCGCTGTTGAAGTGGTCCCTCTCGGGGAGGGCGACATGGATGGCGGGGATCTCGAAGCGGTGTTCGAGGAGTGGAGTTGGAGGGTGCTGAGGGTGGTGAAGGGCGAGGAGGTTGGTTATGGGGCTAATGAAAAAAGCAATGGCCTTGATGAGTTGGAGTTGGAAGGGGAGGATTGGGATGATGACGATGAGGAGGAGATGGTGGATGGGGAGGTTGACATGGAAGATATTGCTGGGAAAGCACCGGCAAGGAGGAAGAATGGGAATTCGGAGGGTGTTCCGGCGAATGGGAATTTGGAGGGTGTTCTGGCTAATGGAGCGCAGAACGGTGTAAAGGACATGGTCACACCAATCATTAGGACGAGCTTGGAGAAGCAAGTGAGCATTTCTTACATTTTATTATGTGTGGTCTGCATTGCACATTTTAGTTGGACTGCAGAAGCTGTTGGGTACTTGAAAGTTGAAATCTCCAGCCTATATTGGAAGGCTCCTGAAGTTATGCTCAATCGATATATAGTTGTGTGACTGGCATATCGCACAAATTTTATTCATTTGTGGTCTATATATGCAGTTATGTTCCTGGGACAGATCACAGAAATGGAGCAATTTTATTTTAGTTAGTTTATTAAGGGCAGACCTAGTGCCGGAGGCTCCCACATGAGTGGGGTCTGGGGAAGGGAAAAACCGAGGCAAGCCTTCCCCCGCAAAATCTGCAGAGAGGCTGCTTCGAACCTGCGACCTGGTGACTCAGTGAGATAGCTCTCACCACTGCACCAGGCCTGCCCTTCAGCTAGTTTATTAAGGATTGATGAAAATTTGTTAATAATGACCATAACTGCAGAAGTAGTTCCCTTTAGGAGTTCCATCCAACTATCTTACTAGCACTAATGGAGTGAATGTTTTCTGTACAGTAGTTAGTTGTCCTTAGTATGATGGTATTGGAAAAGAAGGTAATTGACATTATTTAGATGCTTCTTATTAAACCTTTAGGATAATTCGTAGTGATGCAGACTTTTGTTGGTGAACACTGTGGTTGCTGTTGTGCAATTGTGTTTTCCTTACGTGATGTAGGAGGCATACTTAGTGAATGTTTAGTATTTTAATTATTACCTTCAGCTGATGTATGCTTCTACTCTGCTTCTTATTTTATTATTTATGTGTCTGTTCTACACTTTTACTATATTTTGTATAGTGTAATAATCTATCCTCTCTCTGTGTATGGCAGGGTTACAAAATTATTGGTTCTCATAGTGGAGTGAAGATTTGTAGATGGACTAAGTCGCAGCTGCGAGGCCGTGGAGGGTGTTATAAGCACTCATTTTATGGCATAGAAAGTCACAGGTGAAACCTTTTGTAGTTTGATTATGCAACAGTGTTTTGCAGCACTAGTAAATTGGATGGCTCCACTTTGCAATTACTCCTGTTATTGATCTCAGTTTGTAAATATTTGTTGCTTAGGTATTGTATTTTGTGAAAACATATGATGCTGCATGGTTGGCAGCCTTGACTGTTACTTTCTGTTTATAACTTCATATGATCATTTGGCAGATGCATGGAAGCAACCCCAAGTTTGGCTTGTGCAAATAAATGTGTATTTTGTTGGAGACATCACACAAATCCTGTTGGAAAGAGTTGGAAATGGAAGATGGATGACCCCCTTGACATTGTGAATGCTGCAATTGACCAGCATACTAAGATGGTTAAGCAAATGAAAGGCGTACCAGGTGCGTACATTCTCCTATATGTGTTAATACATGAGTCATGAGTGATCGCTTGCAGTACACTGTGTATCATACTGCACTGCCCAAATAATAAGTCCAGGGCAGGTTGGACGACCATGATCATTCCAAGTACCTGAATTTTTCCTTCCATAAACAGGATTTTTTTTGTGTGTTATAACAGGAAGCAGCTTACGGTAGATTATAGGAATCATAACGCACATCCTTTTATTATTGTTATTATTATTAAAGCTTGGCAACACTTATGTTTTACATCAACCAACCTAGGCATTGCTATTTTTGACATGGATACTGTTCAGATCCAGAATGATCTCCATTATCATGTGACTGCACTATATAGTGTTTATTAGCTAAGAATGCTGCTTCGTGCATTTTCAGGAGTAAAGCCAGAAAAACTTGAAGAGGGTCTGTCACCTAGGCACTGTGCGTTATCTCTGGTTGGTGAACCAATAATGTACCCTGAGATAAATGCTCTTGTGGATGAGCTACACCGAAGACACATATCTACGTTTCTGGTTACAAATGCTCAATTTCCTGAAAAGATTAAGGCATTGAAACCAATCACTCAGGTCACATGCTCAACAGTCTGAATGACTGACAATATCTTCATGCACTAGATCTTTGTATCTCAAAATGCAACAACTTCTGAAGAATACTGACAATCATATCAATATGTTTGCAGTTGTATGTCAGTGTGGATGCAGCTACAAAGGAGAGCTTGAAGGCTATTGATAGGCCACTATTTTCAGACTTCTGGG